TATTAAATAGTACCTACTATTATAAGTTAGTTATTGGAAAATAATATAATATTTGCCAATTTATTTTTTTTATCTAATTAGAAAAACCGTAGAATCTAGGAACAGTTAATAACGTTTGCAAACTAGATAATATTATAATTAAGAGTATACATAATATAATATAACTACACGTGGAGCATTGGTGTATAATAACTATAATATTATAGATATGCATACAAGTCGCTATGTTTTATAATTATTAATTAATATAGGTAGGTAAATAAAAATATTTTAATGATGTTGAAATAATGATAAGTTTACAGTATTATTATTTTAGATTATAAGATGGTTGAATCAGAAATATTGAATAATCAATACAATTAAACAAGGGCCATGAAAGGGTATGGATATTTTAAACCAATGACTAGTCATATACTTTAAAGTTATATATTATAATGTTCGTGTTATCACTCTCGATTAAATATCATATAATATAGTATAAAATTGTGTAAATAAACGCACACGTCATACTCATACTAATCTAAAATAATACACGAGTTAACATGTTAAAACATGTTAACTTTTCATAAGTTTATATACCTATTTGTACTATTTTTTATTTTATTTTAGGATAGGATAAGATGTTCCTAGCCTTGGTTATCTGCATCTATTGATATTTTTATTTTAACTAATTTTTAACATTTATTGTTTTATTAAGGGCATATCAAATATACCTAACTGATTAAATCAATAGTATTATTGGTTTTTAATATTTGTATGAAATTTCATGATCGATAATTTGTAAAAATAATTATTTTATTTACCTATATAATATATATAGTGTTTAATTTTAGCCAATTACAATATATACATCGTATAGGTACACTTCACACTACATAAGGGTGACCATACATCCTGTTTTTTACAGGATTGTCCTTTATTTCAGCATTGTGTCCTATTGTCCTGACAAACTTCTCCCGGGACGCTTTTTATTCTGTTTTTTTGATCAAATTGTTCTTTATTATTATTTCTTATTACATTATGTACATTTTAAATATGCTGTATAGTGTGCATAATACCTTAATAACAATATGTTTTGTTTTTAACTGTTAAACCACAAAAATCTATTTATATTACTGAAAATACGTTTTGTGAATACGGTTGTACAATATTATAGCAGATAGCTGGATATCCCTAATAATAGCTTTATGCCCAGCACAGGGGTTACAAATTGCACATATTTTGGAATGTTTTTATTATATTAGTTATTTATTAGTTTGGCTCCAACAATCGTTGAGTGTTATCAAATTGTCAATATTTTACAATTTTAGGAGAATAATCTATAAAAATGCCTAAGCGAAGGTGCATATTCACTCCCAACTTAAAAGTTGAATTTCCGTTTTTAAGAGATAGTGATGAAATCGGAAAAGTTTTATATATTGTATGTAAATCAGTTTTTTCAATAAAAAATAGTGGTCACAATATTGGACACATCAAACCATAAAAATTTAAAACTGGTTCCAATTCTAATTCGGTATTTTAACTCCCAAGGAGTCAAAATTAAAGTGTTAGAATGTATGAATTTAAAATGAAAAACATAAGATATTTTATCAGATTACATAATGAATGTTTAAAAAAAATATAATTTATTAAATAATGTTGTTGCATTTTCGGGTGACAACTGCAAAACAAATTTTGGCGGCGTCTCGAGAAAAGGCATAAATAGCGTTTTTGCAATTTTAAATGAAAAATTAAAAAGAAATATTTCCGGTATTGGCTGTGCTGCTCATATTCTGCAAAATGCTATGTATACTAGTGCTGATATTTTGCCAACTGACGTTGAACTCATAATTAATAAAACATTTCAGTATTTTCATATTTATACAGTTCGTATAGAAAAATTAAAGGATTTTTGCGATTTTGTTGGTATTGAGTACAAAAATATTTTATGATCTGTAAAAACGCTTTGGTTATCCCTACAGCCAGCTGTTCCTAGACTAATAGATTTATATCCTGAATTTAAATCATATTTTATGTCACAAGAATAGTGTCCTACGGTTTTAAAAACTTTTTTTAATGATCCTGTATCCATTGCATGGTTATATTTTGTACAAAGTCAGTTGAAGGTGATATGTGATACAATAAAGAAGATTAAAGGTGATCATATATCAGCATCCAAAATATATGAAAAGATAGAAGTGTTATGTGGTGTAACAATAATATATATTATTAATAATATATATTATTGTTACATGACACCTGTGTATGTGTCAATTTCGTAGTAGGCAATAGTGGGATATTTATGCTGAGATAAACATTGTTAATAATTGTGAGGCCTGTGGCCAATACGCACCATTTATCGAAAAGGCAGTTCGAGACTGACCAGCAATAAACATGAACTCACCAACAAACATGAACTCACCAACACCGGGATTGTTTACCACCATCTACATTTGTTAAGTACAAACCAAAAATATATTTTGAACAGAGATTTATAAACCAAACGTGTTTTATTTATTGATAAGATCCCACATACCGTGTTTTAACCCCCTAGCTACGGAAAATTTATCCAGAAAACCTTCCCTGGATAACTAATATAGTAACTAGGTTCCCCAGCCACGTTACAGTGGTAAAATAAAAAAATTGGAAAAATCAACATTTTTTTACATCAGAACTAGCCCAACTTATTTCAGATCTTGATAAAAAAAAAATGTACAGTGAAAAAAAATTTATTGAGATAACTGATGAGTTTTATGATACGTTTTTATTGTATGTGGAAAAATGGGTATATCACTTTGAACCACTAAAAGTTTTTCGTTGGATTCAAGTACTAGATTTTCTAATTTGGAGTAACATTCAAGAAAATTTTAAATATATTATTAAGAATAATCAAACTTTCAATTTGATGAAGTTAGACTTTTTGACAAATTTAATCATGTGATAAATGTAATGAAGGTTAAAATGTGAAACTGGAAAAATGGTTCAAAAGCCGAAGATAGGCGGTGTAAAATATTAAAAACTCTAGGAAAAAATAACATTCAAATTAAATATTTTACGATTATTTTTGAGTATTCAATGGCTATTCCCGGAACTAATTAACGCCTCGGTAGAAAGATATTTTCAATTACAAACGTTTTATGGACAAATGAGAAAAATCGATTTTTGTGGACACAATTAGATCGATAATAATTGTAAAACAATATTTTTTAAATGTTTGATGCACAGAGTTTTATACATTTCTTTTGGAACATCCACAATTATTAAAACTTGTTACTTCATCAAAAAGTTATGAAAAATCTAATAGTGAAGACATGCCTGAACAATCGTCATCAAAATTAATTTAAAATAAAATATATATATATTAAAAAGTCCTCCAACACAAGCTATAGATTATAGGAGATTTGCAAATATTAAAATTATTATTATTATTATTATTAATTTTGTCCTGTATTTTTTTTTTTTTTTTTTTTTAAATATGGTCACCCTACATTAATATTCAATTTTAAATCTAAAATAATATTAGAGTCTTTCTACTCATAAAATAGATATTAAACAAAATATATTTTGAAAATCTAGACAGAAAATAATATGATTATTAAATGGATTATTTCCCCAATTACAAATACCTGTCCTGTTGTTATTATTTTATTGTATAAAATATAGTTTCATATTATTATGTTATTGCGATTGGTTGAACACGGTCAAGAAAACTTAACGGTCTAGTTATTACTCACATCTAATAAAATTATTGTATTGCATTGAATTCAGTTTGTTGACAATCTGTCATAAACTCATAATGAACCAAAAGCATAGTGCTACAAACATTTAAGATCGTTTTAAAAAAAAATACCGTTCTAGTACGTGGTACAACAAAACATGTACCCACTAGTTACTACACAGACAGCGTATTAAAAGTACCTACTACGTCCATACATTGAGAACACCTCAAGTGCGCTCCAATTATATGTACAATGGAGTAGATATGATGTTATTAAAATATGACACTGTGCACACGATATTATAACGGCGTATCCCCCTTCCCAACCCACCATTTAATTCATAACCTTCTTCAAATTATTGTTCATGTGTAAAAAAAAACTAGTGAACTTAATTAATTTTTTTCAGCCGAAAACGAATGTACTTCGATTTTAAGGTTGTAGAGAACCCATAAAAAATTAATTGCATTGATTAAACGGTCATGAACTTAACTAATATTATCATAATATCTTACTTGTAGTTAAATTAAATACAAAATCGAAATAATAAAAATATGTAGTAAAATATTGAAAATGATTTGAGTTTCTGATTTAAAAAACTAGAGGTCAGAATCTTCAAATACCATTTAATTTATGAGAAATCATTATCTGTACTTTTCGATGATATCGAATTTAAAAGAACTCAATGCAATAAAAAGTATCATCAGGAAGATTATATTTTTTTTAAAGTAAATAGTACATACAAATATGTACATTTAGTAGCCTACCCTCATGTATTTAATTAAAATAAATTTCAAATATTATATTTGAAAATATAATCTATATAAAAAAATATATATTTTTTTTAAGAGAAAGAGAGAGAGAGAGAGAGAGGTTTGCATAAATGTTTACAAACCCCATTTAATCCAACAGTACTAACACCTTATTCTTAAAACGCATTTAAACGATGAAACAAAATACACAAATAATATACTGAATAAATACAATTAAACACTGTATTAAACAACACGTGTACTTTAAATGTTAAACCCCGTAAGAAACAAAAAAAATACATTATACATACTAACAATTTTAAAATAACAATGCATTTACAAATGAGTCATGAACACTAAATATTCACTAAAACATCACAATTTATAACAATAATTTAGAAAACGTAGTTTTCACATTAAATTATATTATACGTCATATAGATAATTATAAATCAAAAATACAATTTATGATTTCATGAGTATTATAAGTAAACATTTTTAAGTATAAAACATAATTTTTAAATAGCGAATGTTATATATTTAAAATAAATTGTCTTAAAATTGATCAGAAAAATATAAGTCTATAAGTAGCTTAAAACACATTAAATTAATCTGACTAGATTATGTAGATTTACTTCGCAATATTTAGGATAAATAATATATAATCGTTTTATTTTAAAATTAAACTAAAACAATTACTAAATATTAAGAACGAGTATAACGGCGATGCCAAATCAGCGACGCCTTTGGGGTGACAGTCTTTTTAAATTAATTAATTTTAGCGATAAAATAAAATTTTAAAAATATTAATTTGTTATTATATATAACCCGAACGCTAGGTTAAAAGAAAAATCCTAATAAAAAAAGAAAGATATCAATACGAGCAATTTATTTTCAGTCAAGAGTTGGTTCTCAAACGCTAACCAAAAAATTGCCAATAATTGATTAAGGCAGTTAATATTGTATATTAAATTATGGTTTTTAGATAATTAAGTTAAATAACTTTGAATAAAAAGAAGTATTATACTATCAATCATCTCCCTATGAGAGTTATGTGAAGATACAATATGTCTAATTCTATCACCGAATCAGTAACGCTAGAATTTCATTCACCACAAAATATTTTGCAATGAATGAATGTTTTTTAAAAATTAAACCGTAAAGTTAAATTCAAAACGAAAAAAAAGTGTTTTTGAACAATATCATGGACTTATACTCGTATAATAATACTTAGATAAAAATCATACAGTATTGAGGATTTTAAATAACTTAAGTTTACGTTTAATGTATGTCGTTATTAAACAAGTAATATAGCTATAGCTAATGACAGTAAAATATATCGATTGAGAATTTTATGATACAAAACGTTATCAAATTAAAACAATCAACGAAAATTCCGAATGGCATGAAGCTGAAGCTGAATTTGAACGGTTGACTTGGAAAACATGAATAACCAAATCACATTTCTGCACAGACATCATAAAACTTTCTCAATTTTATAATTTGCAATAACAGTACTTGTTGAGTTGTGGTTGAGTTTTAGCGACACACCAACTTTGATTTCCGTACGAGTTAACTCTGCTGATTTCTTTTTCCTGAAACGTTGAAAAAAAAAATATTAACGTAAGCACAATATATTATAGCTTAAAAAAATATCATGTAATTTAATATTTATTCCATCATCGTCCGTTGAATTCGAATTAGACGAACATGAGCGATAGTATGTATAGTACAAACTCACGTAAATCGTGTACTGGCTGGTGTTGCTGTTATACTGACACGTAAATTCGAACACAGCGTTGGCAGGCTTTTGCGTGATCACTTTAATCTGCAGATAGATATCGGTGATTTTCGTGTTGGCCGACATGTCGGGCACGAACCCGTCGGGATCGGCGGCATGGTGGAATTTCATTAGCCCTTCGTTGGGCGCCATCCTGTTGGCCCATTCGATCCGATTTATCTCTACCGGCGCACACTGGTCAGTGTACTCGGCGTTATACCTAGGGGATGAGACGTCTGAGTATAAAATAATAATTCGATACACCAAGTGCCCGAAAAGAGTCCGGAACGGCTAGATCCACAAAAAACAATTTTTTTTTTGGTCGAAAAGAGTTAGCGAAATATAAGAGAAAATTGACCCGATAACAAATTGCCCGCTAGATGGCAGCACGTATTTAAATTTGTGCTGAAAAATTAACTTAATCGCCAGAAATAAACATAATATTCCTAAATAATTAGTTTCGTATACATATTGTAACAGAATTGACCCATATTTCGTACAAATCTATGCCCCGCGTTTAAGGAATTTTTTTGAAGACCCTTGTTGGATACGAGTAGGTTATATTTTCATTTTTCACCATTTTTTTTTTCAAAGTTGCACAATTATTATTTTATATACATTTTTTTTAAATAATTTGATAAAGATAAAATGTTAGTTTGCAATCAGTAAGGTTTAACTACAACTGAAAATACGTCGTGCTAGAGTTGTTTCTAAAAAAACTTACAGTTAGAAAATATTATATTGATATAATTTTTTTACTGTACTTAGTCACCGAATAAAAAATTATCGATGTAAAACCACCTAGAAACCCTCTAATATCAGTTTTTACGATCTTCAATAAATGTCAATTTGCATTGTTCCAAAGAACAGTGTATTTTTTCCGTATGACTTTTTTCATGCTTAGTTATTTTTATCTTTCTATTAATTAGTTCATTCAGTATTGTAATATATTTTGATAACAACATGGTTTATATAGGTAGGTACTTTATAAAAAAAATTAAATTTTATAAACTTTGTTATTGAACAAAAAAATAGATTTTTACAATGTTTTTATGATCACGGCATTAAACATTAGTGATGACAAAAATCTGGAGTTTTGGATATCCGAATTTAAAATTTAACATTCAAATTTTCTAGAGATGTAAAATTTACGTCAAACTATTATTTTTCAATTTTAAGTTTTACTGGATTAAATAAAACAGTCTAAAACCTATTGATTAAATTACAAATCTTTAAATTTTTAACAAGTAAACAGTAATTTTAAAACATCCTGATCATTTGGATAATTTAGATTTTATCCGTCATATTATTCGGAATCTGGATTATCCGAATAGTATTCGAAGCCGGATATGTAAGTGACACCATTGTTATACACTTTTCATACATTTTACACATGCGTGAATTATGTATTTATAGTTGTTATATTTAAAAATGTAAATTTTTACTACGTTAAATTTAGCTAAGTAAAAATGTACTCTGGTAAAGAGAACCCAAATAATTGTTTTTTCGGGATTACATTCCTATAAGCCAGGCCCCTAGTAACAAGATAGATAACATATAAGACATCCATCGTTTTATAGATACCTACCTAGCTAATTATATTTAGCTACAGCCTGTGTGCATTTTCTTACCTATTAAGAAACTGTATAAAGTTTATGGCCGCGTTGATAGCCAATGAACTATCCACGCTTATCGGCTGCCATTTTAGACAAGCACACCAGTGAGGTTCAATATAAGCGTCTTTGCACGTTCTCTCCAACGGTATCTGAAAAATATATGAGTTATTGAATTTATGTGATTATCAAGCGCAGATACAAAAAGATTATGGAAACGATTTCCCAAAAAAATTTAATTGTATACGTATTATTAATTATTATTACGTGTCATATATTTCAAACATTAATATAAAACTATAAAATTAATTTTTTACTGTTATTTGTACGAATATGTACCTATATAATTTAGATCGGTAACTTCTAATCGTGCTAATTAATGATGTAACATCTCTCATCATCAGTTATATCGTAATCAACGTAATCGCTCGCATTTAAACTTCCATTTATTATAACAATAAAGTTATTGACAGATTTTCAAAAATCAAAAGAAAATTAAATTTTTCCTTTTAAGATATTTATGTATTTTTAATATTTTAAATTTAGTAACTTAAACAAAGAGTTTTTTTTTATATTATTTGTTGAAACATTTTTTTTTAATTTAAATAAATATGGGATGCACTACGTAGTTTAATAGTCCTATTATATTAAAATAGAGCGTTGCCCAAGTGCGTCCCATTAATCATATCTTCTTAATAGCCCGATTGCGTCCGCGATAATATCGCAAGTAATTTTGGTATATCCCATGTGCGTCCGCGATATTATTGCTAGTAATATTTATCTTTATGGATAAAATGCATTGATATCTTATAATATTACGAAAAAAAATATTAAATTAATTGATGAAAATATAAGAAAATACAAAACTGAACAAATCTCTAGATAGATATGATTATGTGAAAACCATGGCACTGAAAAGTCAACCAAAAAAATAATTTAAATATTAACCCAACATTTTAAAAATGGATGTAAACCTAAATAATTAAATAAACATAATAATAATAATAAACTTTTAAAATAAATATAATTAAATAACCAAACATTTTTGGGGTGTAAGCCAGTTCACCTCCTCGTGGTGCACCCTGAGTAACTCTAAATGAACTGGGACGCACTTGGGCTATGTCAAAGTAGTGATCTTTTCCATCTTGGAACGTACTCGGGTGAGACTTTATTCCGGACGCATTCGGAACATTAAAAAAGAGACATTTTAGGATACACTCGGGAGTTTCCCATTAAAATGATATGACATGAGGTTCATAGTATAAAAGCCCTCCCCTCCAAGAAACACCCTAAAGCCTGATAATAATCAAGATATTTTTTAAAACTGGGTCTGTAATACTTAAGTGCGGCAATAGTCACTTTTAAATGATCACATAGACGTAAACAAATATCAAAATAATTTAAATATGTTTTTTAGAAGATCGGCTATGTGTTTTTTTTTTTTAATCTATTTGGAATATATATTATTCTATATTAATTTAATTATCAATTCAGCGTTAATTAAAATCAAAAATTAATAAAATAGTTGTTAATTAAGAAGATTCATTAAGAAATTAAATTTAAATTGAATGATTCTCCATCACATATTGGTCAGGATTGCAGGTACGTTACTTTAGATATTATATATAATTACTACATATGACTTTGGCTCGAAAAATAATTAATTACATTATTACACTAATACCTCGTTGAATAGCGATATAGAACGCTTGTTCATATCGTCAGTTTTAAAATTTTCCCCATGCAGGACACTCATCAGTGTTGAGTATATATCGAATGGGGTTGTCAGACGGTTAATGTTGTTATCTAAATTAGACGCCAATTTTGGATACTTCCGGTCAAACCATTTCGGTAGTATGAACGAGAAAATCGGCATCCGCTCTTCGAGTTTTCCCTGTTGCGTGTCTCGTACGGACGTGAACCTGTTGGTGAACAACAATTAGCTTAGAGAAATCCATTAAATCGGATAAATCTTATTATTATACCTTTGACCATGATCACTCATAAACACCAGCATAGTGTTGTTTAGGTAACCAGACTTCTCAAACCAATCAAACCACTCAACCAGGTCATTTTCTGCGAGTGCTATCTTGTTCGAAAAATCATGGGACAATTCGCCTTGAAATGCAAACATAAACTTTGGCTTATCTTCATACACCCGAAACATGTCTTTGACATAGTTAAGCATTATCTGTAAAGCAACTGATGTCAGTTAATGAAAACTTAATTAAATTGAAAAAATCTACTTAAACTTTCCTACGTCATTATTCAATATTCAGAAATCAATCCAAAAGTTAGATAAAAATATTGTTTGTAGGTCATAAAATAGATGGAAACTTATAATTTATACCAAAATAAAAATATGTAAATTACACAACTATAGGTTACTAAAAAAAGTATTTGTATTTTCACAAAAGTTAGTACCTATTTATATATTAAATTATTTTGTCGGTACTCTCATTGACGTTGAAACCCGATGAACTTGAATGACAATAATAATTTTACGGATTTCCTACCCAACACTTTATCTGATAATCATTACAAAATTTGACTTTTGGTCCTTAGTAATCACGTTATTACGTAACATTACATTTATTATTTCCTGATAAAAAATAATGAATTTATTAAATTATCGTATCTTGTAATTTTTCCGTATATTATTGTTATTAGTTAGCTTTAAAATCAATACTGACATACCAAGAACGGTATAAATAGGTTAGATTTAGATATAGTGAAATAGATTTTCATATCTTTATTTCATACATTCTACTATCCAAGGATTCAAAACACGTATGTATACTAACGAAAAAATGATAAATTTTGAATTTTGGTGCTTAAATGAAATTCATATTTTTTACTACTTGAAATGGTACGAAATGCATATGTTTATTTTGGTGCAAATTACAAACGCATTTCAAAAATGTTAGTATAAATTTTAAATGATGTATATATTTTGGTATGAATTAATAACAACCAAATAAACTACTCTAATCAGGTACAAAACATTATTTATTGTAATATTTAACCTTCATTATTAGAAAAAAAACATTGTATATTTTCATAAATTTTGTAAAACCGCTTATTTTTGTTCAATTTTGTCTTTTATAACATAATTTATTGGAAATTTCAAAGTATAATAATATATAATATTTGATGAACATGTATTATAAATAATTTTTATATGCGCTTTAATCTAATAATAAAAATAATATCTAGTTTTCATAATTGTTAATATTTTCTTAGTATATTTTGCTATAAGTATAATTATTTTCTCTAATTACTTATTTCATAATTTAATGTAATACAAATTATTTTATTTCTAGTTTTAAGCGGAACCCTGTGATTGTATTGATTTTACTATAATGCATGTCTGTTTTTGGTTTGTGTACTCGAAATTAATCGATAAAATGTTTTGACCTAACCTAATCTTTAATATTTAAAATTTTCTCCAATTTTTTATAATTTTATTTATTATTTATGACACAATTTTCAAAATATTTGTTAATTATTTTTACCAAGTCATACACACGAGAAATATTCGATTTTTTTTTTTTTTAATTTTTCCTGTAAATTTTGTTTGAAAATTATTTATGGACTTAAAATTTTTCAAAACTTAATAAAAGATTCATAAGTTTTTTTTTTCTATCAATATAAAAATCATAAAAAAAATATGTTTATAAACAATTTTTTTTGACACATGTAAAGTCCCCCTAACATTTTATGAATTTCATTAAAACTATTTTATTACCGTATGACATTTCCGTTAATTTAATTCCCTTTAAAATATTTAACAAAAAATATAAGAACCATTGTTTGTAACTCAGAAAACACTAAAACACTAAATTTGAATAAATAAATACAAATGCAATTAAAAATACATATATTTTTGGAGAATAACTAGAACCACTTCTCCTTTCGTGATTGTCCTCTGAGTTACACTAAATGGTTCTAATAATTCTGCAAAATATTTTTAGGTAAATTATAATAAAATAAAATGTTTAGAAATTACCTTGTGCCTAGGTAGAGAACCATAACAAAAAGGTTTTTGATATTTAAACATAGAGGACGAGTCTATGTAATATGTTCGCATATAATGATCGGTGGGTTGTTGATCGAACCCTTTTAGCCTGTACGTAAAAATACCAAGGTGTGGAGTATCTTCAGCAAAACCTATAAAATCCCAAATAAATAATCAATTAACTGAAAGAAAATATTATTTTTCTAGTTTTAAATCTCCGGAGATATCATTTGGATCTCTTTACAATATTTACACATCACAGTATTAAAGTGAAAAATAATGAGCACTTCTACGGTTTAAATAGAACAATATGCCTAATACAATACTTTTTTTCAAAGTACAAATAATATTTTCAAAACGTTACATCACATCATCAGTCATTAAATCATTGGGTTCACACATTCAACTATATTCAAATTTCTATTTATGTTTGATATTGAGAATTCATATCAATATAATGTACGTTTGCAAAAACATAAAAAATATTCAATGACTAAGCCTTTGAAAAAAAAAAAAAAAATGTTTTGCGATAGGAAAAAAAAAATATTATAGTTTATATTAGTTTCCATTAATATGTTACGTATTCGGCAACATCGCGGCCCTGGCGCTGACATGACGAGTCGGAATGCAAACAGCATCCAAAACGATAACAGTAACCGGAGATCTAGTTCAACGCATAGGTAGTTAAATAGTCTCAACAAAATATAAATCCAAAAACATAATTCAAATTGACTTGCCAGTGACGTAACCGTATTTCTTAAATTCATTCCATATGAACGGGTAAACGTCCACGTATGACGCTTTACTTCCCATGCGTTTCCTAGTGTCCGGAAGTTCCAGTTCAGTACGACCTGTAACGATAAGAATATGACGATTGTAAATTGTAAGCAAATAATATGATTACATAAACCTATTAGATTATATAATTTGTACGGGCCGGGAGCTTCTTATGATAAGTGTGCGTGCCCGGTCACCAAATATTAATATGCTATTATACGGTCACACACCGACCGACCTGTGTATGTGTGTATATATGTGTATAGCACTCAACAGGAAGTGGACAGGTTCGCCGAGCAAATCCTGTGAGTGCTAGTGTGTAGGTGGTGTGTGTCTGTGTGTATATATGTTTGTGTGTATGGTTTAACAACTAAGGAAAGGCAGGTAACTCTGTTGCGGTAAATGAAAAAATTTATATAAAAATATGAAGTGATAATATATTAAATAAGTTACGGCCCTTTTGGCCCAACAAGTAAAAAAAATATAATAAAAAGAGGTAGCTATTAGAGCCACAACAACAAAATGTAATATAATAATATAACTATGGCCCTTTTGGCCCAACAATATAAAATAATATCAAATATAAAAACAATATAGGTAGCTATTAGAGCTATAATATAAATATAATAATAATGATATTTGGCCCTTTTGGCTCAAAACAATAAAAATATATAGATGTAATTGCCGGTTCGGCACAACCAATAATAAAAATAACGATATATATTATAATAATAAATAATTTTAAATTGCGACTATTCGAGTCGTATATAATATACAGAACCAATAATATAAAATTAGAAAAAAACTTACAGTTTGTGGAGCGCAGACTGGCCAGCTGGTCCTATTTAATATAATATAATTACATAACACATACACAACAATACAAATATAATAATATAATAATAATAATAATAAAACACGTAGCGATTAGCGCTAAATAAAGATCACAAAATGTGGCAATTCGTGCCTTTAAAAATATAATATTAAATAAAATTCGTGACGATTAGCACCAAATAATTTAATAATAATAAATCACAAAAATTAGACGATTAGCGCCAAATAATTTATAAAAAAGTACATAAAAATTGTTACGATTAGCGCACGAATCAATATTTTTGCTACGGCTTTCAACGAACTACCAAATACTAACTAAATTTTAGGGCGGCCGTGTATATTTTTCGCACGATCGAGACGGCGGCGACGATAACGCGACGACTGTAATCTGCATATTATATAATAATTCACAAACACATAATATAATTAAAACAAAAATAAATATAAAAATAACAGCTAGCGTATATAAGTGTTTGTGTGTGAGTGTGTGGATCGGTCGGTGGCGGCAACATATAAATAATAAAATATAATACCTACTATGTGCGGCGGCAACATAATTTGTAATTAGATTTTAATTAAGTCGCAAAGATAAATTAATATGACGTATAATAATAACAATGATTTTAATAATATAATGTTCATAAAAAATAAAAATCATTACCTGTCAAAATTGGTATCAATGCTTGCGGAGTCCCGTCGCCGACAATATTATAGCCTTTTAACACACGTGCATTCATAGACTTGAGTTTAGAATACACCTTGGGCAGTATTCTCTGCATCAGCATGTGTGACACAGAGTCTAATCCAAGTATTAAAACGTTAAGACCTAACCCGTTTTTGGGTACTTGATCCCATCCAGCTCTATTTATCACATCCTCGTCAAATCGTATACCGGCCATCCGGCTCTCCCAACTGAATTGAAAAAAAAATTAAGACAGTTAATGTACAACACGAACTGATGGTCATATAAATGAAAATAGGTAATATGCAAAACATTGGTGTCATGCATGAATAAAAATAAACCATAACTACGAGTATAATAACTAAATAACTTTTAGTGACTAACAACCTTAAATAAATATCAATCGTTGTAATATTACATATTATAATGAACTCAGGTTAAAACTGTATAATTTTTCATTGTAAGATCATAAACAGCTAAATAATAATTACATATTTACTTATATACATTTATAGAAGTTTTATTTTGATAGCTTTTTCCTAGATATTTCTATTCCACTTGTAATTAAATTCACGGGAGTCAGTGCATATTTTTATGAATAAACGAGTTTATTATTACTAGGGCTCGAAAGTTGTAGGAATTGCATGTTGTTCTGTATTCTCTCAATTTATAGCAGACAAAATTAGAAGTCTGATCTGTATAATGGAGAGTTAAAAAATTGAAAATTGAAAATACATATTATTTTGCATATTTTTTCAATTTTAGCTAAATAAAAGTGTATATCTCATTGATTTTATACGCATACTATGCATATTTCAAATTTTTTTTTTAATAATTGAGTCTTTCTTTCTTAATCTGTATATTTCAATTAATATTGAATATAAAACTGAAAATTTTCAACGAAGGTATTTATCGTAATTTTAAAAATACTAAAAAATATTTTAAATTATATTTTAGCTAAATAAGATATCAAAATGTCAACCACTTATAATTTTTTTTTAGTTTTAAACAGCATATTTTATAATTGTTTTATATATAGCTGCATGCATATTTTGCTTTTTTTAGCTCCAAAAACTTCCAAGCTCTATTTATTGTACGTGAAATTTAATTTTCAATGCATTTAGTATATTCCAATAATTTCAAGTTTCTACGCAAGGATGATTGGTTATTAGTTATTTATTTTGAACTCAAAACTTTACTTCACCCGTCCTGTCTTTTTATGATAATACTGCTTGTGAAACATTTATTTTTAGAAAAATAGGTCCAGTATAGTTATATATTTCGATTTTTATTTTTTTATGGCAATTATTACTATATATATATATATAGATTTTTTAATATTATATTATAATTTAATAGGTTTAATAAATATTATATTTTAAACACACGCGATCATTTGAATCTTATTCATGTTCAAATTAGATCTACTTTTTGCATTGCATTTCAATAGTTGAATAACGATCAACTCCAAACCAGCCGATTACAAAAATATAAAAATAATAAATACTCAGTTTGTATATTATTATATCCTTGAGACACGTGGTATCTTACGTTAAATGTTTATAGGTATTTAAAAACAAAATGCATCTCACCTAAATTTGCTGTTTTCCGACTCACAGTAAACTCTGAAAAAATCTGATGTCTCCAAATTGTATTCTGTGTGAGTTGTGGTCACGACACCCAGTGACGAAGAGAAATCATTGGCTCTCAAAACGTCTAAAAACCGTACAATTATTGAAATAAAATAAAAAATCTAGTGCAAAACCGTTTAATAATATTTATCTTACCCGTAAATTTGCACTGGATATCACCGTACTTCTTGAGTGCCTTATCAGTGATACGTGCGATGTTCCCCTTGACTGTAACCCAATCCTCTTCTTTGTCGCAAGCCAAAGGCTCTTCTTTCGTTAAGAAACTCATCATGACTGGGTTGAATGGATCCAAAATAGGATGTGGACATGCTATATTATTTTCGGTTATCAAACTTGAGTAGACAAAACAAAAAAAAAATGTTCATGACGTTATTATATTTTCATATCTTAAATTATAATTGTGATTATAATATTATGAAGTAAATTATTTTTAATATAGATATAGAACAATACGCGCTTAACACCAATTACATACGAGTATATTGATAGTAAACATCTCAAAAAAACTTAAAGTAGAAAAAAAATATATATTTTTTTAAAACCTTAAAACATTTCGAACATTCTAGTATTATAATTGAAAAATAACACTTATTTCCATTTTTTACCAAAATTATTTTTAATTATTTTTAAATAAAAAAATGTTTACGATACAATATAGCGAAAATATAATTCAAAATCTAAATTATTAATTATTTAGATTTTTAGGTCAACTTTTTATTAAATATTCAAAAAATTTAAGTTTGAATAGACTTAGCAATACACTATAAATTCGTAGGTATGACCTTCAATGTTTCTATCTAAAGTTTAAATCAAAAACAATTATAGCGTGACAAACTATTTTCTCAAAGTTAACTGAGAAAATAGAGTGGTGTAATAAATGGATAATTTTGCTTAAATAAATATATTATTTTATTAGTGTATATATTATTATGTTTGTAGATACTTTTTAATTTTTATACGATGTTCAAAAAACAAAATTCAGTTAACATAAAATAGTGCGTGCAATAACATATTAAACTAACAGCATAAAGGTTAACAATATATTTTATAACCGATACATATTGTAAAAAAATGTAACTTATAACATGCCTTACATACCTTATTAAGACAAATTGCATGTTAAGGTAGGCAAATAATACTATAAATAATAATATAAACTAAAAATAAGTTTAAACTTATTTTCATGTTTTTCATAATATAAATGTTTTTAATTTTTACTAAAACAATTTACAATAAGGAATATATGAAATATTTGGCGCTCAAAACATACAAACAGACAGTTTTCTACATTTCAGAATTCACATACATGTTGAACATTAATAGAACATATTTTTTAATATTGCATTTAGAAGCAATTGCGCATATATTTAAGTTAACAAATTATTTAAGTGCCCGTGATTAATTACTCATAACACAATAATACATTAAAAAAAAAAAATAATTAACTTAAGATGAATTATTCAATTTGAATACAATTACTATGTTATTTAAAAAAAAATTATTGAGATTGATGATGTAACTAGAGAAATTTATCGCCAGTATAACTAAGAGGAACTGGACGTATTTAAACGTATTAAACTGAAACTTTTTAAAAATTATTACAGCTATCATCAACAAGGACAGAAATAATATAGTTTATAGCTACTGAAACGATGTTGAAGCCATTTCATTTAAAAAATTTAATGACATTGGACTATCAAGATAGTACCTATATAAGGCAATACGTATACTTTGTAATGTTTCTATAATTTTTATCGGTTTAAATCTGTTAAAATATGCAGCAACAAATAAAAATATGGATGATTTAATGATCTAAACAAATCTAACTTAAAAAGCCTTCGTAAAAGTAATATAAAATTAATTTCCAAACATTTACTTTTCAACAAATATATAATAGCAATGATATTTTTTTCTGTATTTTAATTATCTAACCATTAATTAAAGATACAACAGTGATTACGATTTGGATAAGCGTTTATTGAATGATTGATAATCAAAAACGGACCTCGATTATGACAGTTATTTTATCATTAGTAGGTACCAATTATTAAAACAGAAATTCGTCTATTACGACCGCAACTAGGACATGGCGATACTACTTAGTTAATTTGCTAAAAAAAAAAAACATGCGCCCAACGTCCAAAATTTTAATGTGACGTACTTATTGATGTAACATTCCTTCGAAACTATATTGTGAAATTCGAAGTATTATTGCTAATTATTTAACCTAATTTGTGTTCATATTTAAATATTTTTAGACAAAATAAATGATCCAAATCAGTGGTCATCAACCTTTTTGCTGTCACGGACTACCTAAATGACTTTTAAGTAGGACTACGAACCACTTTGAATTTTGGTTCAAAAAATAAAAAGTTATGCTTTATTTATTTTTAAGTTTTTCCCGCATATAAGTATATTAAATTTATTAAAAATTTAAAATCATAATATATAAGTATAAATAAAATAAAACATTACCGGTGTATCAATTACAAAAAATAAAAATATACCTTGGAAATATTATAATTTTTTTCAATATAACATGGACCAGTTCCTTTTTTAACACAGACCGGTGGTTAAGAACCGTTGATCCATATTATTATCTATTATTTTAGTAACTTCAAAATTATATATTTCAATTTGAAAAAAATACTTTATGATTTTTAAGGGAAACAATGTTAAAAATACTTTAAATAGTCATTAATATTTTAGGTATACAGCCCCCACTTAGAAAACAGCAACATGTGCCAACACCACAGCATGAACCAACACAAGTAGCACCAAGCTCAACCACAACAACCTGAATTATTTTCCCAAATGGCTGCCACTGCTGGAGGTATTGACGTGTTGCTATTGGTTCTGCCATAATGTGGTACAACAAATATTATAATTTATAATTTATTATATTTTTATAAATAATATAATATTTATAATGATAATTTATACATTATTAGGACCACATCACGAATGGTCATGCTGGAATATTCGGGAGTGGTGGTTCCCGCGAAGAAGTCCAGCCACAAGTTCAACAAACCAGAAATACTAGTGGAGCAGAGTTGCCAGCAACGCGGTGATTGTGCTTTTAAAATCTAACAGTTTTTGCAGTGTGCACAAAATAATAATGATATTACATTGCGTTCTGAATTTAATGGGATTATTGGCTAATGCAAGGACGCTAATCGTAATGCCAATTTTTAATAATTAACCATAAATTCACATTAATAAATCATTGATTTTTTTTCTGGGTTAATGGAATTTAGATAACTGATTAATGAACGCTGTAAGACTAGTTTCAAAATTATTATAAACAATGTATTTTTAACACTAAAATATAGAATCAATACTATGCAAGTTGTTTTTTTAAATTAGTTATTTTATATATTATAATCTTTAGGTCAATAGAATACCTATTATTATTATTATTATTATTATTATTATTATTGCTTAGAAATATTTAGTTTATTTATGCTAATTGTAAGTTATAGTTAAAAAATAAGAAAACAAATGTTAAGTCATTATAATAAACAATATTATAATTTAATACTTATTATTTATTTTAATTTACTTAAAAAAATATTCAGATAAATAAAGAATAATTAGTACCCACTAGTTATTAGATTATTACAAATATTTCTTTTAAATGTTTACTACCTATTGAATAAAAGAGGTAAAAATAGAAAGTTTTTTACCTAAAAGTAGGTTTTAATTGAACTTCGTCATCAAGTAAGATCAATGTAATAACTAATAAGTGTTAAATTATAATACAACTATAAATGATACCAAGTGTAGGTGATGTATCATATTTAATGCATCAATTATATTCAATAAAAATTTACTTTAAAATACAAAATATTAATTTAGTTTTAGGAATCATTAATGAACTTTTTTACACGAGAAATATTTAATTATTAAATAAATAAAACACACTTTAAATATAGATTTAAATATTAAAGCACAATATTTTTGATTTCTTAATATTAACAGTTAACAATGTGAACTGATTTCCTTTTTCTTTTCAGTAAAACTTTTTTAGCTTAGAAATATCAAAGTACAATTTAGTTTCTCTCTCTCTAGCTTTTACACAACATGGGTAATAAGATTATGTTTATCTGAACCAATATTTTATGTTGTCAGTTTTAATATTAGAGTGAATATAAATAAAATAATATTTTTCATTGTACACCATTTTATATTTTATAAAATAAATTGGATTTACAAATTGTATAGGTAGATAGTAAAAACGGTGAAAACAAAAGTTTTGAAGTTTTTTAATATATTCTAATATTTAGGAAGAACTTCTATTAGTCATTGAAAAATGTGTTTAATAAAATAATAATAATGTTAATATAATACGTATGGTTAGACAGTGGCGGCTTGTGGTGTGAAATTATTGCAAAAGTTTATTTAAAATTAATCAATTCTAATAAAAATTTCTTTTATCACAACCTCAAAGCCAATTATTATATTTTGTATAAATGCCATTTGTAAATAAATGAGTAAATTTGGGTTTTTTTTTTAATAACTTCTGTAACTTGTGTTAATTTTAAATCAGACATAATATGCATTCCTAATGTTTTTGTATTAATTTTTTCATCTATAGCATGTAAAGAAGACTTTTCAAAAGCAAAAATATTCAACCAAATTCCCGAATTTATGAATATAATTCATAACATAATGAAAATAAAATTATGGGCCGTAGGAATAAAAGTGATAAAATACTGCAGTACATAATTTCAGACGAAACGTAATCATTATCACTGGCGAATAACAACTGACAACTAAAATAATTTCTTTTGATAAAATTAAATAATACATAGTAATAATAATAATAGTTATGACAAAAATAGAAAAACGGTGGAATTTACATATTAAAGCCAATAAGGCGCGGTGCGCAGTTTGTTATAATATTTTACCGAGTGTACTGTTTACCGCATGTCACCGTCTGACGAATGTACAGTAAGTAGCTGCACATTAAGGTTCTGTATACAATTGCCAATTTTATTCTCCCTCTCAACAACTAAACATATTTTACACGGACAGACAATGTTGAGACTGAGCTGCTGCTGCATATCACTCGATATGTAATTTATGTTACATAATTTGACTAAATTTTAGGAGTACTTATAATTATTACGTATATTTTAATTTTATACTATAGAATAAATATAGTTGAGCAGATATTGTATTAAAATTAAAATACATTTTTATTTTTGTTTATCTATGTGGTGTGCGTACACCGCCACCTAGGCACGAACCGCTACTACGATTGTCCTTACACACGCTATTTATGTTTCTGTGTTACAATATTTTATCATGACAGTACTATAGGCGCAAATTTGGGAACTTTGGGAACTTAGGGAAACTTAGCCTCCCCTCAAAAAAAAAAAAAAAAAATGTGCCCTCTATATTTTTTTTTTTTTGAGTTTTTTAGCAAATTTCAGGATTTTATCAAAGAAAATTATAAAATGTACTACGTAGTTCCTAAACAAGATATCCGATAGGTATGTATTATAAGAACATTTGGGGTTCGTGCATCATGGATGAATTATATATTGTAAATTTATAATAAAATTAAATTGATTGAGCTACGTTAATATTATATAGCAATAACTTTTTCAATCTACATTCTGAACAAAGTGCTTACTTTAATGATCATTATAAAGTAAATATTATAGTGATAATATTTTATGAAAACCATGTACTTTATATTATATTGGTTAATATTAAAATGTAATATAGAATTTTCCATAAGTTTTCCTATCTATAGAAAAAAAAAAAATATCAGAAAATCACATTAATTTTTTATGAACGTTTGAATCTTTTATAATATTGCATATCCACCTGTAAAATAACTATTTTTTCTCAAAAGGTTTTTGGTATTTTAAACAACGAAAACCCGTAGATACTTGAATTTTTCACTTAATACTAGCTAACCGGCTATAATCAGGTTATACGTTGCTGTGACTATGATAACCCGTTGAATTTATGCTAAACTAAACTTAATATATTTATAAAATTCTTAGTTGATAACATAAAAATATAATTTTATAAATAAGGTAGATAACGTTAATTTTTAACTTTTTTATATATTAAATTACAAAAATAAATAGATATTTTCGCAGTAAAATTAAAATTATTAATTAATACCTTAAAGTTATATTTTTATAGTTATAATTAGAATTATAACACTGTATCAAACGCACAATCTCAAAACTAACCCGATTATTCTTTCTCTCTCTCTCTCTCTCTCATATATATCGAAATATGAACTATAAGTTGGATAAAATCAAACACATGAGCAAAATAAAAATAAAAATTAGTTGTATAGTTTTGGAACGCATTACATACATATCCGTTGACGTTTATTTTTTATGTATAAAGATGTATATGATCATTCTCTATACTATTTTCAAATTATTTTGACTCTTTTTGAACTATTTAAAGGTATGAGAAATTTTTATTAATGTCGATAAAAAGATAATCTCTAAGTCAAAATTCTTAAAAATATTTTACAAGATCTCAGAAAAGATGTTCTTGTATCTATAAAAATATATTCAAAATTCATAGGTCCAATTTTTTTTTTATATATGCATTTAAAATTCAAGTTATTTTATTGTTAGAAATGTATAAGAAAAAATTCTGTCATATTCAAAATTTGAAAATATAATATAATATTTTTCATAAGTATCTTAAACTGAGACTAAATATTTTTAAAAAATATACAAACACAGATACTTTTTTAAGCATTTAAATAAAATTACATTCTATAATGATGAAAAACGATATTAATTATTTTGTTATAAATCAAAAAAATTATACGTGGGAACTTAAGCGTATTTATATATACAATAAACCTATTTTTTCAGTTTTACGGTATTTTAGAAAAGTATAATATATTAAATTTCAAGTTATATAAAACTGTATAAATACCAATAATTAAATTAAATGAATACAAATAATATAATAAATTTACAATTTTTGGGAAAAAATTTACTGTAATATTAAAAGTAAAATAAGAGCAATAGTAGCTAAATCATTAAATAAACAAGGTGATATAGGTTGACAGACTGTCACCGCTTAGAATTGTTTTTCGTATAAAATGATATATCATTCAATTCAAATTTAACACACACATAATAATGACCTTTTGGTGGGTTTTTTAACGTATTTACTATTTTATATTGAAGTAAAACAGCTTTATATATGTGTAATAAATGCTGATAAATTTTACCATTATTAAAATATTCTACATTTATTACTATATTTTATAAGAAATAAGTTGTTTTTATTACCAATATAAATAAATCAATAATTAAATTATTTTTAAAATGCCAACGTCTAAATAAAATAATTTAGACTCAGGACTATGAATAAATAATACTACTATGGGTTTAATGTAATAATATGACATAATTATACGTTACTTTTTATCAGGAACTTCATTATTTGATGATTTAATTATATCAAGTTCGATTTGTTTTCTAAACAAACAAAAATCAAATATTAGATTATTAATAAATCATCATTATTTATAGATATAAAGTATTATATTTTATGAATTTAACTGCAAATGATCAGTATACTATTTTAATATTGTATTTTATGTAAGCGGGGATCTATTTTATATCACATAGGTACATGAGTATTTTGTTAAAAAAAAATGTTTATTTTTTGTACGTTTAAAGTGCAATAAAACATTTTCGTGATCAATACAAAAAATATGCGTTTAAATGAATATGAATCATAATATGTACTATAAGTTTTCATAAACAATAAAAATAAAAAATTACCGAATTAACTATTCATACAACATTCTTATGCAATATACATTGTTTTTTTTTTTTTCATATAACTTGTTATTTATTATTATTATTATTATTATTATTGAATAAATATTAAATAGACTATAATATAGTATGCATTACCGATATGCAATAATTTTTTCTATTTTATTATTACATTTTTTAATATTAAACATTGTTATGTACACTTATATCAAATTGAAACTGTATGGTTTAAAATTTAGATACCTATTTCTTAAAAATAGTCCCTTTTTAAATACAATACTTAAACATAGGTTTATAAATTCAATACTGATTATTCATTACACATATTGTATAATATATAAATGCTTGAAAATATAAAATGTCTTCCAAAAATATAGAATTTAAATACCTATAATAATTTTGTCAAACAGGTTTGACCGAAATGGGAAACAAACCTTTTTTTTTTAATTTTCGAAAACTAACAATGACAGAAACAATTATTTTGAATGTAGGCAAAAACGGTACTTGATCATTTATATTCGTAGATCGATTGTTGATAAGTTGTATAAAATAGAGCACCAGGTACTAGATTAAGTGGGGATAAATTATAGCTTTAAAATATTTCTTATATTTAATTAATTTATTATATGAATATTTGAACTAAAAAATAAAATAGCTATACGTACCGCATAATATTTCGATCTGACATATCGTAATAAGAATTACTACGGGTCATTTGAAAAATCGAATAACCCATGATTCCTAAAAATATGAAGGCGCATATACGCCGAACCATAAAAGACGGTGCCCGTACAGTAACCATCTTCAACACTCACTGTGAACAAAAATAATTTAAAGCTAATAAATTCGACCATTTTCAGTTATATAAATATAAATATTTTTTTATTAAACACAACAAATACTGAGACCCCCATTAATTTATATTTTATACGGGAAATTAAATTTATTCTATAAGGTATATTTATTTTACTTTGTCTCTTTTTTATTCCTGAAGGCACCCTTGCTTATTATTTATAAAATATGAATTTTTATTCAATATATATTTTAATAAATAATTATATCAGATTATAAATACCAAATTTATAATAAATAAAAAAGTAATTTAACATAGTTCCTATTACTATAGAACTACATCATGATATTTTTCAAACTAACATTAAAAGCAGTATAAAATATAAATAAATAAAATGAATTGTTTAAGATAATGCGTTTTATTGATTATTTTTCTGAAGAAATATAAAAAATTAAATAATAGCAAACGATAAAAAACCTATATCTATGATTATATAATTGCTACCAGGTAACATTTATACTTATGCAAAAGTTTACTTATTTGCTTACCTGTTAAATATAATAATTTATGAATTATGAGTTCTAAAAAGGCTAAATATACAGTTAGAGTCACTATTGTTTTAATGCATTAAAAATTAAAATAGAAATATTTGATACATTTGTAAATTTTAAAACGAAAAAGAAGTATATTAGTTATCTACTTACTAACTAATCGAAAATGTATGAATTTATAATTGAACTATTTGGTAGCTGTAACATACACAAATAGTGGGAAAAGTAAACTTAACCCCAACACAACCAACATGAAATGTTGTATGTGCTATTGTATAGTAGAGTATGACATTCATCTATTAATTATAATATTATCAATTATAAATTAAATCAAGATAAAAAAAAAAAATCAAAATATGAATAAGCGAAAACCCATCACCTAATATGTAATAATAAAATAACTCGGATGGTTTATCAATAAAATAATAAGTATAGCTTTACAACCTTATCTTCAATTTTCAATAAATTCTGCAAATTTAATTTTATACTTATAATTTTGGCTGCACGTACCTATGACAGGAAATTTTTAATCAATGACTGATAAATTATTATTTCAATAAAAATTTTTCTAAATGATACTATTTTATAATAAATGGCATACAAGTAATTTATTTTCTGAAAACATCTTTTGGTGCTTTTCCTAATAAAGATAAATTAATTTTTAAATTAAATACAATAGCAGTAACCTCAATCATTGAAAAAAAAGTTACTCTCCTATACCAAAAATAATATTGCATTAAACAAAAAATAACATAATTTATAAGTGTTATACGCACAATTTAAAAATGAAAATAAACAAACGCTTTATAGTAAACAATTAATGATTATCCATGCATCGAGCAATCATTTTTTTTACACAATTAGAAAGACTAGATATCATAAAAATATATATCTAATTCAAAAGACCAATGCGTTTATGTTTCTTACTTATTGTATAAGTGTTCTTTAGAGAACAGTAATTTAGGAATTGAATAATTCGTTTTCAAAATGTATTTATATTTTGACTCTTTCTGTGTTATTATAGACATTTGAAACTTTATTTTTTTCGATTTATGTTAGATTAAATTTTGTTTCGTAAATTTGAATACTTCGAAATTTAATACGAATTCCTACATAAATTTTACTCATAGCAATTCAATAATATAAAAATATGTAAGTATGATTTTCCTTATAAAGTTATAAGTGTTTGAAGTTCAAATTTTAATATAATTCATTAAAATTACAAAAATCTGCAAATTATTTTATAGCTAAAATTTTGTGAATTTTTCCATTCGTTAAGTTATAAGACATGAACATTAAGTACAAAATTCTTCATAAGTAATTATTACTTCTTACTGATACTCAAAATTTTGAAAATATATAAACTCCAACCCTTTTCTCGCTGAAATTACACACACACACACACACGTTGTACTCCTATGGGTCGTAAAAATCGTGTAATAGTGATCCATAAAAAAAACTAATAACGTGGTTCAATGGTAGCAGAACTACATGGACGAACTATGGTAACATGGTGGCCGATTACTGATCAGACTAAGCTCTACAGTACAATGTATTGAATGTCTTATATATAGTTATTAATGATCAATAAACGGAGTATCAAAAACGAGGGTGACGTCCATGGCGCATATAGTTGTAAAACATCATGGTCCAGAGTTCAGTAAACAAACTGGAAGTGAGTATGATGATATTTTTTTCGGCATATTTTAGATTACTTCACAAACAAAATTATATTATTTTAAGTAGTAAGATAGTAATATTATGATTATTATTATTAAAATTGATTCTAATATTATATTTTTCTAGAGTCATTTTTAATAATTTAATGTCTGTATTTAAGAGGACCTCCACCTTGTATGATCCCTAGGGCTTAGAACAACCAAATTTTGCGCTAAACAACTATGAAATATCAAATAGTTCACATTTGTTGACGTATATAGAAGTTATGTGTATTGTGATTGTATTAAAGAATATTCATCATTAAATAATTAAACTATTTACATACATTATGTATATAAATATATTTAATACAATTATTTATAAATTAGATTAGTTCCCCTTTAAATTCACAGGACGTCAACAAAATATGTACTATCAAAGAACAAAAATTGGAATAACGTTTTTTTTTTCAGTGGAATAGTAAGACAATGAAGAAAAAAGGATCACCGGACTCTTGGGAGGAAAACCTAACCTGTACATTAGGAACGTTACGCTGTCGAAATCGAATCATGACCGCCGGCCAGATATAACGGAGAAACCCTACAAGTAGATATGTGAACTTTTATTCCGATCGTCTTCACTCGTTACAACTACTTTGTAGTATAATAGGTACCTACCTACACTACCCGTCAGAAAACGATATAGGAAAAAGTCATCCCTTCCACCACGCGAACTCCGTGTAATATATTATACAAGAAAACCACGACTAAACAACACCCATAAAATTAAATATTAGCTACCTATTCCATTATACTCGCGATCGATTTCCCAGTGTTTTGTGTAACCAATACGCCGGTATAAACGCTACGTATCACCTTACTTTATATTATCATTGTTGTCGTCGACTTGTCATCACTATAATAAATTACTCAAATTTATATTTACTCAGAATCTACCAACTACCTACGTTATTACATTTTATATTTTAGTACATAATATTATTGCCGGCGTATGAGGCGATCAATCGTCGTGCGTCGTCCTTCGCTCGGCCGTCGTTAGCAACACGGGACGCGCAACTACAGCGCAGCTTCCGGCGCGATAGCGCGGATTACCCAAGTTGTAACGCTTCGCACTCTCTTCTCTCTCTCGTCCGCGCTAGTTTCTGCGCCGCTCACGGCGTGGGGCTCGGCGATCGAGTGGTTAGCGACGCGCGCACGCACGTTCCTGGCAAAGACGGTATTATTATTATTATTATTACCGTCGTTTCTCCGATAAGTATAGAGGGTCTATTGAAGCTATGAAACGAAACGAAACCGAGATATTGTATTGGCAACGAGGAGAAAATCGAAAAGAGTAAAAATATAACATTTATGAGTAATAAAGTTACGAGGACGGGACGGCGATAAAACTGAGGACCGACGACAACGCGAACTGACGGACAACCGCGAACCGACTGCCGACGCGCGCGCGACGTCTTATCACTGTATCCTGTACATAAAATATACCACAGCCGGCCGTGTCCAATGACAACGCCACTTGCAGCTGCTGCTGATAGTGGCACGACCCCAGAGCCGCCACCCACCAATAGAGGTGATAGATCGAACTACCACCCCGTCGAGGCTGATATTATACTTGAACATACTTTTATTGTATTTATATATAACGGTGATAGCACGAACGCATGTACTTACTGTATACTGCAGCGCGTGCCACGTTAGTTAAACGTCACTACGATATCTGTGAGCGGTCGACGATAAGACAATAATATTTGTTTTCGAGTCCTATTTATTTGACTGCAGCCATCGCATAATTTACATAACGTGGGCGATGCAAATAGAAGTACCAGAGACGCATTTGAAGGTGTTCAAAAAATTGTAAAAACTCAATGTATTGTAAATACATTAATTTTAGTTAACGAAATAATAAACTAATATATATATATATATATATATATATATATATCAATATAATAATATACATTAAAATAAGATTACCACACACCGTGACTACAAATTTAGGGCACAATGTGATTTATAATCATCGTTACTACCGCCGTACCAATTTATCTGACGCTGAAGATTAGGTATGAATTAACACGTTCGTTGTATTATATATCATAAACGCATTTTCATTACTATGGAAAAACTATTCAAAATGAAACTATTTGTTTAATTGTAAACTTAACTGAAACAATATACTACATCGAGTTCAAAAACTAAATATTATAGTATTATGTTGGATTGCACTCAGGACATAAGTCACGTTGAACAACTTTCTTTGACTTTAAAACTTTTTGATATCAATAAAAAATGTGCATCAAAGAAAATGTTATAGTGTTTGAAGTTTGAACCCATGTATGACTCGTCTGGTAAAGGTATTTATGAGACCATATAATAATGTGTAATTGTAAACTAGAATTAAGTAACAATATATATCAGGGATATAACAACGGAGTGAATATGAAGGGTAAAAATAAAGACGTACAAGCAAGAATATTATGAACCAATTCTCGAGCTTTTTTTATTACATGATATGGTTGTCATTCACTGAACTTAGTATTTGGATTAGTAGAAGATAGTGTTTCTTGTTCTATTGAGTCAAAAACTTTTTTGAAGCGATTTAACGAATATACGTATTGTTTTTTGCGTCTGTGGATCGTTGGTATATCTTAAAAAAACATATTTATTAATCTTCATCTGTTAAGCCATTATGTGAGGACTCGAGGAAATGTCGAATAGATTGTATTAATGCAGTTAAAAATTAAATCTCGCAAATAATAGTTGCACTGATAAAATTAATTAAATTAATAACAGTGTGTAATAATTATCTAAAATAATAAATTATTTAAAACAATAAAAATGTTATTTAAGCTACTTTTTTAAGGGCACTTTTTAAAAATTTTTCCGGGGCGCCATAATAACTCAGACCAGCACTGATCACTAGGTGTCTACAATGTGAAATTTCCTACCATGCCATACTTGATACTTCAGTCTTATTTCTAATAATTTATCATTAATAATTACTTATTGTACACTTGTATAAATTGAAATATTTTCACAATAAAGTCATGAATTAAAAAAAAAATTACATGAACCAATGGATCTAATAAAAATTAATTCTATGCAGCAATTTATCGCGTTATTTTTTTTTATACCATTACTACTACTGTAATAATTAGAGTTTTAGAATTTTAAAATTTTAAAATTTTGTGAAATGCTTATTCACTTATGGCGAAAAACTAAATCATAATAGTATATAATTCAAATTTAAAATTACATTCGATCATTAAATAATCAATATTTCAGTCAATACTCGATAATATACTATTTAGTACCTATTTTATAATTATTATAAATTCTGTGGTATCAGTAAAAATATGTTAAAAATAACAGTAGTTAGGTACGTAATACCAAGGTATTATAATTTAAAAATTATTAAAACATATTAATATGATTTAAAAATATAATAATATATTTTATCACGTTTATTCTTCTCTAGGTAAATACTTAAATTTCAAATTAAGAATATTCATATTTCACTATGCATATTTTAACACGAAAGTAGGTATCTTTACTTTCAAAGATTCTACTTAATATACTATGAAATTGTATTTTTATGGTTTTTAATTATTACATTACACTTTATTGTATATTCATTATTCAATAAATTATCTGAAATGTAGGTACACTAACATTAACAAAAATATGAAGTTATTATTGTATATTATACTTGTATCGAACTTACAATAATGTTTATTTTATTTATTTTTTATTTTTTTTTTTAATTGAATAAAAATATCCTAATGGATCAATAATGAAAATTTTGAATTAATTTCCATTTGCCTATTGCCGTGGAAAATGCTTCTGTAACACTCCGTATACATACAAAGACAACCACATATAATGTGTTCAGATGTTAAAGTTTATATTATTAGGTATATCTTCTGGCTTACTACAAGCAATATTCTGTACATGTGTAGACTGTTCTCAATAGTACTTAATTTTATGATACCAGTCGCTAACTCTATTACAACCATTTTAATAATAGCGACATTAAAACCATTGAAATATTGATAAAAAAAAAAAAAGTATGATGCGACATTTCATCATTATATTATAAAAAATTGTTTACCAATAAAACTGTAAACAAATACAAAATACCATTGCTAACCCATAACCGCAACACTAAACGTAATCATTGCATCTATTTTCACAATTCTTTACATATTAGGTGGTACGTTTCTCTATCACTCAGATACCTACTACTACCTAACCTTACTGTGAACCTCGTTTCTCACTCCATTGGGGTCAGAAACTTAGAAAATGAGCCTAAGTTTAAGTGAAGATAGGAATTTCATTCCTAGTTATTAAATATTAATGATTAAAACTTTTAGATTCACGGAAACTAAAATTTTGCTATTAAATAACTAACTAACAAAATGGCTCAATTACCTATATATCAATTACCTACCTATATTTAGTAAAAAAAAAAAAAAAAAACGATTATCTGTAGATTTATAAAACCGTTTCAATATTGATATAATATAATTATATTAAACAGTGGGCGTATTTTAAATTGTTTTAAAAGATAATATTGTATCAGTAGGTATATTATATAACTAAATATAAATTGAAAAATAATTAGATAATAAAAAATATTATAAAAAAATCTTTTTTTATTTTAACATTTATTTGATATATACAATCTGTAATAGTAGTTACAATAAACATATGAACGGAAAATGCATGTTGACTGTGAAATCATGAGGAGAGTAGTTACCCAGCAGTAACACTCGACTAAAAAAAAAAAAAAAAATTCTATTATTATTGATTATATAATTATAAATGATAATATTTTTATGCTTATTACAATATAATTTATAAATTATAATTACTTAAGTAGAGAAGGAAATATCATATCCCTATACATCAAACCTTGTATTTAATTCATCTATTTATATCATATTAAAAAAAAAATTCAAATTATGTTCAAAATTTTAGGTAAGTACCTATTTCAATATTACGCTTGACTGACAAAAATGATTCTAGTTAATTTAATATTAATATTTAATTTTTAATCAGTTTTTAATGTTTTTATCTTGTCAATATGACTATAATATATAATTATTATAAATCTACACCGGAGTGTTCTACGTTTTACTCGACGAGACTTGTCATCAAATTGGGCAGTTAATCGATATGATGCAAACGTGCAATATTCAAAATAATTGGTACTTATAGTACCAATTAGATGGTTCTTTTGTAACATTAATTCAAATATCTTATTGCATTGATTGAAGTAATTTTATCTATAATACTAGTTGTTCGTTCGGCTCCCTCTAGGCTCCAAATGAGTACCCTTCTTTGTACCTTTGTACCCAAGGTCGGATATATGACTCAGTCCCCTTGAGAAAAACTCTATTAAAAAGCATATAGTAATCACACGTTTAATTTTGAAGAAGTGGATGATAAATTGATAACGATGTTAACGAAATTAATACCATTGATTTGGTGGCTCTATGCTTTGGCGGTCTTATTTTAAATGAGTAAAAGTTTTTGAAAATCGAGTTTGAATGTCTGGCAGACAGCAGTCGGTCATCAACGTTGGGTGAAAATCAATTTACACGCAACTAAATTTTCAAGGTAGGTAAACAATCCGATTACATCGAATCGCGGACAATGTGAGTACATAGGTGAAATATTATATGTAATAATTAGGAACCGGAACTTGATAAACTAGAAAATATAAAAAAATGCATGAAATACATGAAATGAAATAAAAATGTTAAAAAAGACTAAAATATATTTTAAATGTTAATAATACAGGAAGTTAAATTACAAGCAAATTACTGGCAAATATAAATATTATATATGTTATGAAAATGTTTTCCTATCATTAAATGTGTTATATTGGACAATTCAGCAATGCATAACATTTTCAAATAAAAATGATCAGTGATTGTCCGATAAAAGAGTTTTAAATATATAAAAACTTCTTTCAACTTTTATTGATATGATGGGGTATGAGCGCATATTTAAAACAAGTGATGTCATCATTGTTCATATGTATCTTTTAACTCTTTTTATCCTTTCAATATTTTTGAAATAATTTTCATTGTTTTTTTGTAAAACAGCTGAAAATTTATTTTTAATTAAACATCCAAAAGTATTACGTGGCTAGCCATAAGCGTGCGCACAGGCGTAGCACATGCAGCTTAGGCTGCATCCGCTCTTTCTGTAACACCAAATTTTTTTTATTGTTTTTTTGTGTATTCGTGATACGATTTTACTTGATACTTAAAATTAAAACCATGATAAAATAACTATTTATTTTTAGTGTTGACAATTATACAATGTACATATTAACTAAAAATTTACTGAAAATGTTCCTTAAAATAAAAGTTATGAACAAACAATAATTAATAAAATAGAAATATGTACTAAACCTGATCGAGAACTGCCTACACTAGGTATATTGTGTTTGTTTAAAAAAATTAAATATTGTTACTAAACACGAACATACATAATTATATTATAGTAAATAATTATATATTATATTAACTTACATTAGATTTGTTTTATTATTAAATAATAAAAATATAATTGATTTAATTAATATAAATCTAACCATACAATAATGCATACATTTTCCAAGCAATGTACAGTTGACGTCAATGTTTCATAATATGTAGACCATTTAATTATGCAAAATATTGTATGGTTATAAATAATGTTTGCAATAAATGTACTCTTAATGAGCTTAATTGATTAGATAAACTACAAATTGTAGGTGTATATAATAATCTATTTAATTTATAATATAGAAATATTAGCTATGCATTATAGTTTATGAGCTACCTACGCATGTACCTATTCAACTACCTTACTTTAATAAACTATTCCGTATACTTTTATATTATATAGTGCATGTTAAACCAAATCATAATAGCTGGATAAAAATAAGTTTTTTATATGTACTTAGTTAATGAAAGTTAATTGTCAATTTTAATTGTAATTGTACCTAAGCTTGATTATTAAATAAATATAACATATTCAAATAACTATTTACACTGGCAATATACTTTAAGTGTACTTATGTGCTACTTAACTATTTCAAATAACCTAACCTATTCACCTATGCATTTTTAATATACTTATATTAATGAAAGATAATATTCTTTATATAGAAGTAGATGCATATAATGCAGAGGGAATCAAATTTAATTGTCTACAAACACTTCTATGTCACCAATCACAACCTGAAGTTAAACAAAGTCTAATAATTTTATGATTAGATTATCAGGGATAAGACAATGTAAATTAAATTATGTAATGAAAATAATGCAATTTACTGAATCAAAAATAGAAATTTAACTATGTTATATTGTACATTGTCAGCCACAAACGTCACATGGACGGCGTTTAAATGACCCGCACTTGCGAAGAGGAACATAAAACGGATGTAAAAAACGCGAAATAGATCGACTAAAACGATTAAAAAACAAAATTAAGTTGTTCGGAGGCCATATTCGTATTCATTATTTTGACCTTCGTTCACGAAATCGGAATATAAATAGCATAAGTGTGGCTTTCACACGGCTAGCTCTACCTCTACGCGAATAAAACTTTATCGCTAAAACGTCGGTAAAATCATAAAATGGGGCTTTAAACGTCAATTCGTCGAAATTTCGTCTAAGTTTTTAAAAACATACTGAAATATAGTAACAAAAATTAAAAACTGAACGATATTGAGTAAAATAACGGGACGGAGCTGCGCCCCCGCGATTTTGATCAATAGAGAAGAGGGAGAGATGTTATCAAGATTAATAGATACTATTATCTATTAACCTTGAGATATTATTAAGTATAGTGTCTATGATTATCACCGCGGTTTAAGATTGTCTATGTTTAAACAAGTATGGACTAAAATTTACTTACATCCTAAACCATGAACTATTACTAAAATAAATCATTATGATTTAAATTTTAAATTATTGATTTTAAAATTGTGAAACCCAATGATAACAATAGCTGATAACAGTTTATGAAAAATGTTATCATTACACAACAGTTATGAACGGCTAAATACTAAATAGTAAATAGTAAACATTTTCAACAATCAAATGTTATTCAAGAGTTTACTTTACACGTAATCTGTTTTTAATTTTAAAATTCTCATGAATCAAAATCCATAAGCCAAGTACTTATTTGCTTAACCACCTATTTATGCTGAATAACTATTGATATCAAATTCGTGCGTAAGTTTGATAACATTTATTTCTGTCCTAATTCTGTATCGCATATCTTAATAATTGTTTGGATACAAGTTAGTGCTGTCGTTTATTTTTGACAGATATTAAACAATATATCATAATGTTTTCAGAATGGCCAAAACAATTTTAGTTACTGGTGGATCGGGACTAGTGGGCAGCGCTATTAGAACAATTGTTGAGACCCAAAACGAAGCATTACCTGATGAAAAATGGATATTTACTAATTCAAAAGAAGCAGATCTCAAGTAAATAACAGCTAATGGTGTTCAAACTATTTTATTTTCAATTTAAATTGTTTCAGTGATGTTCAAGCGACAAAAGATTTATTTGAAAAATACAAACCTACACATGTCATACACTTGGCGGCTATGGTTGGTGGTCTATTTCATAATATGAACAACAATTTGGACTTTTTGGTAAATAATGTATACATTATTAATAAAAATTGTACATTATAATCCAAGATTTGGTACCTACTTTTAATTTACATTGAATAGCTCACATAACATTATAATTAAATATGAATATAAATTATAAGTATGCCTTAAATTTTCCATAATTTTTCATATTTTAATGATGTTTAATTTAAATATTAATATTAATAATTCCACAACACCAAATACTTCATTTTTGAAAAATTGTATATCTCTTATATATATTGTAAAAAAAAAAATATTTGTTATAAATTATATGTCCTCTAAGTCCAAAGACTTATTATTATTTATAAATTTTAATTTATTCAGATCAAAGATTAATTAAACTGTACTAATCGGTTATAGTGACTACTTTTCTTCATGTGTAATAACTAATAATTTAAAAATTATTAGAACTTTTACAAAAACTAGGAATAACATTTTAAATTAGAAATTAATAATTATCTTGTTAAAGAAAATGTTCAGCCATGCAATTTAAAATGCCTAAATAATTATCATGCTTTTTATGTCACATGCATTCAAGCAAATAATTGTTTAAATATTGAACTGCTATACCTTTATGTATCTTGTTGTGCCATTTAGAAGATCCCCAAAACCTTTTGATATTCGGTGTGTGAGCACCAGTTTGGAGATTGATAAAATTATAAATGTGGTTAAATGGTTATAACCAGTATTCTGTAGTTCATCTGTTTTATAACAACAATAAGTATTTTAAATTGCATCGCTAAACATTTTTCTCCTTGAGTTAATTTTGAATTTTATTCCTAATTTTTATAATAGTTTTAATAATTTTTAAATAACTCTACATAAATAAAGGTAGTTTTGATAACCGATAAATACCAATGTAATTATAATAATTTGTGATTTTATCAATACATTATAGTTTTTTAATATATATTTGAGCTATTAAGATAAAAAATTTAGGTTTAATATTCTCAATAGTTGTAGTGATGTCTATATTTCTATGTACAGTAGATCCTCGATTGTCCAGTTATAATATGGCACTCTAGACAGGTAATTTGTTCTGACTGTAATAAGTTAAAAATATGGTATATACTTATTATTAAGAGATAGTATTTTAAATATTATTTATTTTTTAATGTTTATCTTTAACTCATTACTTGTAAGATAAATTAAGGGGTTGATTAAGAGAGTTTTTCCATTTGAATAAACTAATGTATGGAAAATATCTATTATATGAATTTTCACTTACCTTTCAAAATACTTGAAATGTGAAATTATAATGTTTGATGCGACTTGATGTGATAGATGCTGGATAACCATGGGGTGGAAAGAGGTGTGCAAGAATATTATATTTAACAACTCAAAAGATATTAAAGTGAATTAAATTTTATTAAACTTGTAAAAATTTGACGCAGAAAAAGATTATTCATTTATTGATACAGTGTTTGGTAAGCGACTGAGCATGGAATTGGTTGTTCTTTATTTATTTATATTTAATCATGAACATTTCTTATTGATTCTTAAATATCTTGTTTTAATAAAAATATGCATTTACATATAAATCCGTTCCCTACTCATTATCAGTATCTTATTTATTAAGTAGCTCATATTTGTATAGCTGCAATGATTGTGATTATTTCTAAGTCTAAGAATAATTTAATTAATTGTAATTTAATCTTATTGTTGATTAATTAGATTAAATAAGCTGCACAGATAATTTATTATTTATTTTATTAAATCTAAAAGGCATATTAATGAATAAAGATGTAATATTTTCTAATTTATATTTGTGCAGCTGTATGGATATTTTATTAACATTTAAATAATGATATATAATAATGTATATATCATTACATAACTTTCCGTAACACAATTTATTTATGAAATAACTGAATACTATTTTGTAATTGGTGAAGCATTGGAACATCAAAACATTAACAACTCTGAAATTGTGTTACTGTACAGATTTAGAAAAAGCTTTTGAAATAAAAATTGTATTACTTAAAAAAAATGTTCTACTAATAATTAGTTAAATTTAGATCTAATATATTATTATTTTTTTTTTGTAATACAATTTTTATTATAATATATAATATGATAAATAAAGGGAGTAGACAAAATGTCTTACCTAATCATTTGAGTACTTAGTTACTCAAAAATCTTCAGTAGACCAGACAAATTACTAATCTGAATGTCACTTATTTTGAACTTGTTTAGGCCATCTAAGATCTACTGTATATCTAATTATCCAAAAAACAATTCTATAACTACATAAACTATATAAATATTATATACAAATTAAACTTAAGATAATATTTTAAATTATAATAATACAATAATTATTATGTCAATGTATTTAATTTTATAAATGAATTATTCACTCAATACAATTTAATTTGTTTATTTTATTTCAGCGCAAAAATATACATATAAACGATAATGTACTAGAAACCAGTTTTCATTACAATGTAAAAAAAGTAGTTTCATGTCTATCTACTTGTATTTTTCCAGACAAAACATCATATCCAATAAATGAAACTATGGTACTATTATTTAAAATTTTAAATATGTTAAAATATAATTCAATATAATAGAAGTTAAATATTATTCATATTTATAAAAAATAATTTTTATAAATTATGTATACTTATTATGATTTTCAAATACAATAGATTTAATGTAAATTAAAATTTAGAGAAATGCTATTATTCTTGTTTGTATATTTAGACCATAGGTTCTTAATCGGGGGGGTTTGTAGATGGTTACTCGAGGGTCCACGAAGTGATAATGAATTTTTTTTAAATAACCCAAAAATTTAATTTGTTTTGATTGCGTTTTTGACTATAAAAAAAAAAAAAGCAATTATTCAATTATTTACAATAATATAATATAATTGTTGTTATTAGTAGTATAAAGTATTAAATTTATCATTAAAAAATAATTAAAGTAAAAATTTAATTTATCTATTTATATATTTTCTTTTTTTTTTGATTAAGGGGAGGGGGGTCTATGATTATATTTTATACTTCAAAAGGATCCATGAACCAGAAAAAGTTAAGAATCTAAGGTATAGACTAACTAATTAATGATTATATTATTATTACTATGGGTATTATCGAATAATTGAGACCATTCAAACTTTTATGGTTTATTAAAAAGTATTCAAATAAAGTTAGTCATTTATTAGTATATAGTTTAAAATTAAAATTATTCAAGTTCTATGATAGATTAAGTTATTTGAATAATAATTGATTGTTTGAACCAAGGTTTTTATTTTTTTATCCAAATTATTGAAATTGAGTTTTCTATTTTGAATTTATAACATGAAATAAACCAGTATTGATACTTCATATTTAAACTTTAAATTATAGATTCTTTATAAAATAATTAGTATCTTATGAAAGAAATAATAGCTTAAAATTTTTAACCATTACTGAAATTTTCTTGTGGCTTAAAATCAACTATTGGCATTTAATAAGCTAATTATCAACAAATATTATCACAAAATATTATACTTTGTCATTATGTAATATAAAAATATATAATATCAGTTAATTTTAATTTTATTGAAATGTAATATCATGCTAAAACAGCCACTTTTTTTTCTTCAAATTTATTGTACATTAATTATATATTTAATTGGTTTTATATAATTTATTTTAGATTCATAATGGACCTCCTCATCCATCTAATTTTGGTTATAGTTATGCCAAGCGACTGTTAGATGTCGCAAATAGAGCATACTATGAAAAACATGGAGTAATATATACTTCTGTTGTTCCATGTAATGTGTTTGGACCACATGACAATTTTGACTTACAAAATGCCCACGTGGTTCCAGCTCTCATTCATCGACTCCACATAGCTATAGAAAATGGTAAGTTATTAAAAAAAGGAACTTACTATTATGCAATTAACAATAATGTATACATTTTTTTTTTAATAAATGTTACTATGGTAAACCTGATGAACATCCAAGTCTACATATTATTATTGTTCAGTTATTGACATTTTTTTGAACACATAGAAAAGTACAAAAGTATATTTTAACTGTATGCACTTATTATTTGAAAATTTTTATTTTAAAATGTTATATTTCATTTTTTTATCAATTATTAAATAATATAATATAGTTAATATAGTTTTTTATTCTATGTATACCATAATAAATTTTATAATTTAATTACATGCAAAGTAATATTATAAATTTAATTTCAAATTTTTGTATGCAATCTGTAATTTATTAATTGAAACTCTACTTTCATGTAATTTTCAGGACATGATAAATTTGTAGTACTGGGATCTGGAAAACCTTTACGACAATTCATTTATTCATTAGATCTTGCCAGATTATTTGTTTGGGTCTTAAGGAATTATAATGATGTCGAACCCATCATCTTATCAGGTATTTGATGAGAATGTATATTTATAACTATAGCACAATATAAATATCTATGATTTTCCATATTTTAAATCTATCTTGATGATAATAAAATAAATTGTCTATGAAATAATTTTTTTGTATTTTTGCAGTGGATGAGAAAGATGAAATAACAATTCGGTTATTAGCTGAAATGATTGCAAAATCATTTAATTTCCAGGGAATTTTAGAATTTGACACTAGTGCTGCTGATGGTCAGATCAAAAAAACTGCTAGTAATGAAAAACTTAGAAAATTGTTACCAGATTTTAAATTTACCAGTTTAGAAACAGCTATAGCTGACACTGTTGAATGGTTCAAAAAAAATAATAAACAAGCACGACTGGTGGCACCATAAAGAAAATGATTAATTTAAAAATATGTTTTTATTTATGTAAGAAATCTAAATTTATCTTGAATTTTATTTTTGTTATAAGTACTGTTATTTATATTATGTGGTAAACAATAATTTTAATTAAGTAAATTATTATATTTGATCCTCAAAACTATTTTCTTACTAAAATTGTAATATTAAAGTAAAAAATAATCTCTAATTGTTCATTAGTTGTAATAAATTAAAATTTTATTTTTAAAAACCTTATGATATAAAATAGGCTTAGTTAATGTAAGTGTAATGGTAATGTAGTAAATAAGTATTATAGAAATATGCTCATGTTGAACATGATTATTCGTTATTAACAGGGCTTGCAAACTGTATAATAACTTTATGATTATAACGTTATATTTTACAAAAAACAATTGAGATTTGTAATGTAATTATAACAGGAAACGATAAACATAAATATTTAAATAACACAAAACAACATAACACAATACGTTAAATATAGTAAATTATTAAATGAAATAATTAATTTCTAATTATTTAATAGTTATAATTTATAAAATATATTAAAAATTTTAATTCTGAAGAAAGATAAACACAAAAGTTGAATAACGTTTTAATTGTAAATAATGTAAATGCAAACCCTGGTTATTGAGTGACCTGTTTTAAATATATTATAATTTAACACCATTACTAGCAAATTTATAAAACTCTTCTTTATTTATATTCCTTGCATCTATTTAAAAGTTGTAGGAGAATATCTTATAAAAAAATTATGTTAGGTACATCAATTTTGTGTTCAGGCTTGGCACAAGGTGGTGTGGGTAATATAAGCAAAGGCTTAGGGTGACATTTAAAATTTTAATATTATAAATAATTTTTAACGAATAACATATTGAACTTGTTCAAGTCAGTGTAAATGGAATCAATTTTAACATACTTATTGAAGGAAGTTAGAATTTTAGATTAATAAAGCAAAATATCTGTAAAAATGAATATTTTTGGTCTAAAGGCCATATTAATTATGATAAATAATTGAAAGAAATGATTAAAGATATATTTTTTGAAATAATTGTTTTATAGCTTGTAAATTTTAGAAATAATTGAAAAGATTGGTTTATAATTAGTATTATTATGTTTGTCACTGTATTTATGTATCTGCGTCACAAATAACATTTTCTATACTAAATCAGAAAAATAACCTATTTTTAAAAATGTTTTGATCATTAAATGTAGAAAATATACTAGTACTAATCATAACCTTTAAGAAAAGTTAAGAGTACACCATGTGAACCTGAAACAGAGTAGGTACCTATTTAATAATTTTAATTACTCATAAATTTCACTTTTATCAATAAACAAATTACTTGAGTTAAGATTATTATTAGAAGTGATGGATGAAAGTTGGTTAGGCTCTGAAAAATTAGTTGATTCAGTTACAAAAACGCTTGAAAAAAAGCTAAACTTTTCCTACAAATTTGATTTTGTTATATTATTGTATTTTGCAATATCAGGCGCAATACAATCAATTTCTCGAATGATTCTAATAAAATTTAGTGTTAGTTTGAATATTATTTTTGAGAAAAAATTTATATTAATAATAGCACCAAATTAAAATATTACATTCTTTATGAAGACAAAAAAATTCTAAATAATTTACAAGCGAAGAGTACAACTTAAATTTTTATGAACTATTTTTTATTTTTTTTTTGATAATAAAATTCTTAAGCTTTATAGCCTATACCCACACTAAAGAATAGTTGTTTAAAATTTTGGTTTTAAGAACAAACAAACTAAATGTGTGATAAATAAATTTGAGGAGAAGTAGTTATTACACTGATTAATATCCAATGTCATAAAAATTTGAACTTCAAATGGCTATAAAAAATACTTTGACTTTCCGATAAAAAAATTATATTTTAAACAACATGCAAAACGTTTAAAGAACCTTTTATTAAATTTTCAAAACGTAGTTATAAATAGATATTTTTTATAAATTTCTAATTACAAAAAAATTATAATAATTTTATTAATAACCTAACCATTTAGTGACGATTTTAGATTTTTGTGGTAATTCATTTTCGAATTAAAAAAAAAAAAATTATGTCGAGGACTGGATTTGACCGTTTTTCCTAAATTTTTGTTTGTTTTTTTCTAATTAATAATTTTGAATTTTAATACCTCTCTAAAATACAAACTAGATTTAGTTTTATATTTATAACCACCCTCAAAATTAAAAATCGAATTTTTTCATCTAGGTATTTTTCGTAAGAATTTAGGTAAGTATTATCAATAAATTATTGCTGGCCGTATATAAGAGTTCCTTTTAACTTTCAAAATTTCAATCGCTGTATTTTTAGTTCTTATAATTATCAAACAATTTGTTATGTTTTATTTCGATACGGCCATCTGCACGGTAGTATTTAGTGGTACTTTAGTACTTACTACAATAATTATATTATTCACGGTCATAGAAAATTGCGTTTAAAATTTTTGAAATATATCTACATAATAAATGCATAATGTTAAAAAAAAAATGTGTTAGTAATAAATTATTTTTATTTATTTTTACGTTTGATTTAAAACCTTACCAAACTAGGAATCAAGTATATTTAACACATCATTTATAAATAATTTGTGATATTGTCTATTAATATATTTATTCTGCAGGTATCTACGCATTTATAGGTACGCACCTTCCTTTAGTGTATTTGAAGTTAAACTATTGAACCATACGTTTTATATTTTACTGTTTTAAAATCAAATATAGATCGGCCGATGAAATGCGATCTGGTTTGCGTGTTGTATAATAATTTAGTCACACTATCAAAAATTATTAGGAGTTTTTATATATTCTCATCTCGAATTCAATTAAATGTCTCAATGTTTTTAATTTAGATGATGATTTTTTTGCCTATATGCATTTGATTAGTCCGGTAACGTAGCTAGGTAATTTTTATAAGATCATCAAAATCAATAGTTCATTTCGGGATATTATTTTTATTAGGTCGATTGAAAAATAATATTTGACCATTTGATAGAATTTGGTAGAATTAATATATTTTCAGAATGTGAATGACTTCTAGTAATTATCCTTAAAATATGTTGTTATGTTGACCTAAATACATTGCAAGTTTTTTTATTAGGTTTTTGTTAATCGAAAGTAGATACCTACTTATTTAATTATACCTAATAATAAACCTATATTACCGGGCAAATTTGCGAAGACAGTCGACCTTTATCATTATACTCATTGAGTAAGGAGAACAGCGAGATTGCCGGTACCTATGTAATAGATTTATAGTATTATATTAATATTTACCTCGTTATAATATATTAACTGAAACACTAGAATTATCACATTTTAAACGATGGACCAATAGTGTTATCGTCTATCGACATAATTTAATATTAATATTATGCATCATTCAAAATATATCATGTACATACACTACACATAGTATTTATTAGTAGGTAGGTATATCCATATATGACTGTAGTTTGCATGTTGTACTTTCCAGTGTCCTAAATATATATGATACTTACATAGCAACATATACGTTTAAAAAACTTGTCATGATTATTTTCTCGTGTGGATCTTTTAAACGTTGAATATAATATTTAATAACACGAAAATAAAAGAAGAAGAAGAAGAAAAAGAAGAAAAAGAAGAAGAATAGGACATTTAAAATTTATAAGCGCGGAGGCTAAAGCAGTGCCTTAAAGGTAGCTAGATCTAAAATAGGAAAGCCTGGATCTGTTAAATATCTCCCTACACTTATATTAGTTATATCTGTAAATTCTGGAAATTGTAATCACTTACCAAGTACAAATATTAAAGGCACGTTATTACCTTCCTCGTTCCTCTTGGCCTCCGGAGAGCTTTCTAGGTCATTTATTTGATAATTTTATCACGTAGGTACATTGTAACATAAATTTAATATAATATAAACTATAATAATAATACTATGGAGTAAATAGTAACCTTACTTGATTCATAGCAATGCATAGTGTATATGTTACGCTTTTCAGAAAAGGTAAGGTGATACAGATAAAAAAAAACTCTCTGAACACGTGAATCCAAATAAAAATACAACACTGGTTTAGCCCTTTGAAAAATGAAGTCCAGTTGTCGCTTGCAGAATCCAGTGGACGATGGTTGAGAGGTGTTGCTGAATAATTAATGCGTATACACTGATTAAAGAGACGAAATAGTCAAGCAAATCAGATTGGCTGATGGCTTTATCAAAAGCCTCTACGTTCTCATTGAACTAACCTTCTTCTTGACGGTAGAGACCATTTATTCGGCCTTGCCCAGTTTCTAGCGACACCATAGCCCATAGGTGTAGTTAGATGGAGGCTTGGGAGGCCTTAGCCCCCCAAAATGCAAACGAAGTTTTCTACGAATTGGTACATGTTTAACCCTAGGAGAGCTACAGACTCTCAAAAAATTTGACTTCCTTACACTTATGGACGGCACACAAAAAAAGTCATACGTCTTGCGTCTCATTGTCATCAACACGTGTCAATTTCTACGTGACTTTTATAATGTGAGTCATTTCTTTCATCAGTGATGAAAATGTTGTATCAGAATTCAGAAGTAACCGTTATCTGCTTGTGACGACTTGACAGTTATTTATTTATTGTTTTTAAGCTATATAATGATATGTCATATTATGATGCATATTAAAACTAACATCTTTTTGGTTTATCCTTTCAGCAACAAATTTACGCTGATTTTCAACAATCATTTTCAAATAATCCAAATTAATTATAAAAATTATCAATATCACGAATATGCGTACTTATCTAATAGTAAATAATTAAAATTATGAATGATAAAATATGATTTGATGCACCTAGATAACTTAGAAAAAATATTTATGATGTGGTAAAAATCAAGAGAATAACTTTTTGTGATCAATGGAAAACATAACATCCTATAAATATATCGATCCACTTAAAATAAAATTTAAAAAAATATCTTAGATTTTTAAGCATGTTAAAGGTATTGTACCTACCTTATTACTGAGTTATTACTTTATTAGTTATTACTAGAGCGCGGATTTCTATGCCATTGCATATTTTTTTCC